GCTGTTAATTTTAATGTGAATTGCGGTATATATTATCGTTTCAGCTGTAACTGATTTTGCGATTGTTCTCTTGTTGAAGATAGAGTGATTTGCTGTGTTCTTTGTGGAAATGCTTCTGAGTGAGGTGAGGAAGCTTTTTGCGATGTTAGTTTGAACGTATTTCGGCTGTATCTTCTTCGGACGGGTCGTTAAACCAGATTTCTGTTCCTTCCTTTTTTCTTTTTTTGTGGGTGCCGATGTGTTGCGGCTGGCGTAGTAAGGTTTTCCGTAAATCCGCTTGTTTTTAGATGGCTATTTTTGTAGCGTAGGCTTGGGCTTTGTCAGAATCACTTCTTGCTGCACGAGATGTCTGTAACCCGCATCTATCAACCACAGCATAATCAGACATTCTCGTGTCGTGCGAGCAAGGAAGTATTTGACAAAGCCAAGCCTTCCTACGAAAAGCTCTAACAAACAAGCGGATTTACCGAAACTTCCATTACGCCAGCGTCGCACCAATCTGCACTCCACAAGAAGAACAGGAAAAAGGAACATAATCTGGTTTAAGCCTCCCATATCAGCCAAATCACCACCTAATCTTCGGCACACCACTTCCTCACCCTATCCAGAAGCATTTCCACAAAAGAACACAAATTCCACCTCTTACCTTCAAACAAGAACAACGTAAAAGTCAGTTACAGCTGCCACGGAAAAATAGTAGACCATAATTAAGCACAACAAGAAAATAACCAGCGACAACCCCATCCCCTCCCAGAAAGGATGCAACTGCCGAAACGAAGAACAATGCCCACTCGACAGTAACTGCCTATCAACTAGCCTAGTCTACAACGCACACGTAACTACAGAGGAAGACACCATAGGACTTACAGAGGGAACATTTAAACAACGTCATACTAAACACAAGCTATCATATCGAAACTAGAAATACGCTAACAGTACTGAGCTCTCAACGCACATCTGGAAACTCAAAGACGACAAGAAAAATTATGAAATCAATTGGTCAATCATCACTTCAGCAAGCCCATACAACAACATCTCTAAAAAATGCCATCTCTGTTTAGCAGAAAAACTTTATATTACTAAAGCCGACAAATCCAGGCTACTTAACAGAAGATCAGAAGTAATTTCGAAGTGCCGGCACGAGAACAAATATTACCTAATGAACATGAAGAGCACAGGAGAAGCTGGAGAATCCTCATCAATTTAACACACGGCCAACGCTATCACAGGTGAGCCTGTCGCCTCGATCTGCGTGCAGACACTGTGGCAAGATCATCAGTCTCGACCCCAGCGAGAAACATCACAACTGCCGCTGCGGTACGTGGTCAACGCTACCATGGACAACGACATTGACGACGGCTAACTCTCGCATCTGTCGATGGACTACGGCCAGAACATCATCGGACAGCGACGCACAGTGAGTGTCGACCATTGCCGCACTTACAGCCATGACAGGGAGAGTCATCCACGTTGAAGGAGGTTACGATACGGCAGCATCCTATCCGAAGCGGCGCCGACGGCGGAGTACTGCAGCATGTGACGTTAACTAACGCATTTTCCTACGCAATACTTTTACACATAATTTTCTGACGGGATAGGGGGCCTAATGTAACGATATTTACGGAGAATATGAGTGAATTTTCTTATAAATGGCGGCAATAACATTAGAAACAAACAAAAAACGTTACGTCCGCGAAATACTGCAGCGGGTGACGTAAAATAACGCGTTTTCTCGCACGATACTTTTACGCGCTCTCGTGCGCATATTGCACAATTGTTGTTAATTTGCGGACGGGACAGGAGGCTTAACGTGACGAAATTTACGGATAGTAGGACTGAATTTTCGTATAAAATAGCGGCAATAAGATTAGAAACAAACAAAAAAGTTAAAAGTCGAACAACAATATACCAGCAGAACAATTAACCCATATAAATATTGATCTACTGACTTTGGTAACTATGGCCCGCGTACGGTTTCCGCAGGCAACCGTACGCGAGCTATAGTTACTAGAACTACATAACAATAGATAACTAAAACAATAGCGCTATTCATGTTTATATGGATTATGGAATGTATACAAGGTTTAATTATTAAAGTTGTCTGATGATCGCGCAAGCGTGAAACTCTGAGTAACAGCAAAAAGTGATGTCTTGTGTTTAATCTATCTACAATATATTACGCTCTGCAATTAAATGCATTGAGCACTCTACAGCAGTGTAGACCAAAGCATACAGATGTATATATATATATATATATATGCTTGTTTAAAATAGCGAGACAATTATTTCAAAATATCTCACAATGTAATTGCACAACACTAAAATACTTTGCCTTGATTTTATTACATTTTACTCTCGCTATCTACATGCACTCTATATCTCATGCTATTTCTTTCACAGTAGAAGTCTTTTGCATGGCAAATTACACCCAACCTTAACATGATATTGTCATATCTGTATATGTACCTAAATGTATTTCGGTACTCCATAGCTTGTGAAGTATGTTTGCAGAGAATGACTCGTATGCTAGCATTGCAAATGGCCCTTCCATATTGCCGATTTCTGGTGACTTCTCTTTGATAGCAATGGCTTCTGCATCTATGCTGGCCTTTCGTCTACCTATATATACATGACATATGACGTAATAAACGGAAGAATAAGCGCAAAAACTAGGTATGTAACTATCAGCCCATACCCAACATAAACAGCTTAATATTGAGCGAATCTTGAGAATCATGTCAGTCTTGACATTTGGGGTTCCTTTTCTGGTTTCCTCAATCATGGCCGTACGCAGCAGGGGGGCAGCAGGGGCAGTTGCCTCCCTAGAGATTTTCAGAGTATGCCTTTTAATGGGACAAATACTGTACACTTTTAGAAATAAAATAGAAATGTGACAAAAGGTTATCTTAAATCATCAAAAAAATATTACACTTTAAATAAAGAAATGTTAAATTGCAAAATGTTAGGTCACAGGGGGCATGGGGAGTACCTTTGCCCCCATACAGAAAATTTTCTGCGTACGGCCTTGTGACCTCAATGCAATACTGTTTGCTTGATGTTGCGGACAATTCAGTTCTATCAGGCAGATATTTGAGCCAATAATTTGTTAGAGTTATTTCCCTTGCATTGCGCTAACATTGTGCATTGTGCGCACTAGCTATCCGCCCTTGACGAGAGAGGGCGCTGGGTCGAGCGAGATTATGGGATGTTTTCCTGGAAACGGTAGGCGCACTTTTGGGAATTGGAAGAGAAACGTGAGTAGGCCTTACGGGTACATGGGTGAAGAATGTTTGCGTGTATAAGTTGCCAATTTGTTTGTACCTGAGATTGCCGGATACATCTGAGATACTGAGATACTAAGTGAGCTACAGGGCTAATATGTTCTGAAGGCAAGCGAGCTGATATGTATTGAGTTTGAACTGAACTGTTACGCACTGTATAGAAGCTGATCTGTAGCATAGACACCGACTTGCATCGTTGTGAAATTGTGCGCCTGACGGGCGGTTGAAGTGAAGTACAGAGGTGGTCGATGCATTATGTGAGGTGACTGTGAAGCTAATGTACGTGAATTTGTAGATGGTGTGTTGCTGCAGAATTTTATACTGGAAAATAAATGTTTGAAACTGTATTTGGTGTTATCAGCATGACTGCAATTGGAACAAATGAATCACCCACAACACTTACTATGTTCTCTATGCAGACAAAATTCAAATGTCCCTTGTGATTCCAGTGTACTGTCCATATCCAGTGTAACTCCCGGCTCACTTAGTTTTTCCAGAATATAACAAGGACCTAAAAATAGAGAAAACAAAAAAGGTGACCTTATATAAAGTTAGTAGCAATAACACAGTCAAGTGTTGAACAATCACTTATATAACACATAACTCTCTGCAACAACCAGATATGACAGTACAGTTAATTTAAATTTAGTTCTATTTGCAAGCATCATCAGTCACTATCCATAGAACAGTTCTATAATTTTGAGAAACATTAAAATTTTGGTAGGCATGACAGACCACTCGAAAAAAACAAAAACTGAGTGTTCTGCAGAGGTCGGAAGGAAAGAGGTTATTACAGTAACATAAAGTAGTAAATAAATTTATGTTACTGCAAAAACAAAGATACTTGAAAAACAACAGGAAAAATTCTTGTGTGATCTTAAATTGTTTTTGTTACGAGCAATTAGGCTCATGTCCATTGCACTTTCATAACTGCGAAGTATGGTATTCTACCATCTACATTCATCATTCCTCTTCTTCTTTTCAACACCAACTCAAGAATTTGGCTCATTTTGATGTCTAATGTTTCCACCTGGAACATCGAGAAACCTTCTCCAACAGCCCTGAAACAGACATAATCAGCGGATACTTACACGATATAGTTACAGCTTCACATACGAATTGTATACAATAGATGTGAACTTTTCATGTGCAGAATTTATCGCGATTAGACGAAGGATGCCTCTAAAAACACATCTTAGATTACTATTTTAATTTTTCAATTTCAAATGAAAATAATATTAACATTGCATCAGGAGTGAATACTAATTGATCTTTTATTATTCACTCTTGATTGCATTTAAGGCAACTAAAATAAATTTCAACCAATTTGCTAATGTGGCAATATATATGCATGGCTATGGATCCAAACCTGGTTGGTCAATACTATGGGTGTTAAAATGTACATTGCACACACTAACTTAATGATTATACACACTCACACTTTGACTACAAGTAAAGACTTGCTAGTCTCCACTGGGCAGACCTTTTCCACCAGAGCTAAGGTGCCGAAACCAAACTTTGAGATGGTCTCCCTGTTGTCTAGAGGAGGGAAATCTCGGTCTGGCTCACCATCATCCTCAGCTATGTTTAGTGTATAACACTCTAGACTTTTGCTGTTAAAATCAGAAAACAGATAGCATAATCATTTCGCAACATGAAAACATTTAAAAGGACACTATTGGTTATCAGCATTACATATATACTGAAATTTTTGCCAAACTTATAATTAATAAGCAAAGATGTTAGCCTAATTATAAATAAGCAAAGATGTTAGCCTAATTATAAATAAGCAAAGATGTTAGCCTAATTATAAATAAGCAAAGATGTTAGCCTAATTATGAACTAGAGCAAACGATGTTACCTAATGTATCAAATAAGCCAAAGATGTTAGCCTAATTATAAATTAAGCAAGGTTTGTTAGCGCTAAATCATACCCAATAAGCGCAAAGAATGCTTAGCCTAGATTATAAAGTAAGCAAGATGTTAAGCCTAATTATAAAATAAGACAAGATGTTAGGCCCTAAATGTATAAATAAGCCAACGATGTTAGCCCTAGATTATAAATAA